ATTGGTCCCACGCTGACTGTGAGACAATAGTCATCCTGATGCAATATGGAGAACTTTCATTCATCTCAGTTTACTCACACACTGCTAACTCTCCAGTTGGGTATTTATTGTAGCTGCAGTCATAATAATGGCAGTGGCCATCCTCATTATGAAGATGAATGGTGCCTGGCTCTAGTGCTGGTATTATCCTCCAAATGAGCTAGCGTAAGATTGAAATAGAACAGGTGTGTGTTCTTTACTTCCTACTGTTCTGAGTAAACAGCTCTCAGCAATGCCAGGGTTTACTCAGCTGTGACATTTTACCCAATCGGTATCAGGCTTTAACTACTTCTGCTGCTTTTACGGTCTTAAAATAGGGCTGTTTGGTAATCGCCAATTTTGTGACTAATCGCCGGAATCAGTATCGGCCGATGCCGATCCGATCGAGTGGGCGGGGCCTATGGGGATCTTCCATTTAAAGTGATGTTTAAAACTCAGTTAATGGGGCTCATTCACTGGAGCTTCCACAAACAAGAACCAATATAATTATTACATTCAAATGATGTACATTATTCAAGTTTACATTAACTTTGGATAAAAACACGGGAGAAATGAGCGGAAGCGCTCTCTTTTCCTCTCTCTCCCCCTCTCTCTCTCCCCCCCTCTCTCCGTCCCCTGACAGCCTGTCAGTATCTCATGCAGCTCTCTGATCCAGTAATGACTGAGTGACACGACAGTGAAGAATACATATATTTATAACTAGTTTAGCTTGTTCCAGAGGTAGATAAAATAGCTAAGTGTGTTAGGTCTAACTCTTAGTATGTGTTTTGCTCCGCTCACCGGTCCGTCACAGCGGGCGGAGCGGCAGGATTTCTGCTTCACACACGTTGCATACCGCTATTTTACTGTCTTTTTTGGACACCTTAAAATACTGCCAGACCGGTGAAGCCATTTTGGCGAGCTTGTTTTGCCGCGCACAGAGAAAAGTGTCATGTATTTTACGTCATGTGATCGGCTCTCCTGATCGGCCTTTATAGAGAGCACCCACCGATCGGCCGATCGATAATCCCTAATAATTAGCATTATTATTGGGGCGGAAATTGGCATCTACCAATCAGAGGTGGTCAGTGGTTCCATCCCCATCCCCTGCAGTCAACTCGTTGAAGTGTCCTTGCTTTATCTCAAATTGCTCCTGTAGGCATATCTACAGTTTTGAGTGGAATGTAAGTCACTTTGGATAAAAATGTCAGCTATAATCAGCCTCAGCATCGTGGTTGCCGGTTATTGGGGGAGTTTCTTGCTGCTTTCAGAGTTTCTGTTCTCTATTCGATTGTCCTTTACCAAAATTATATAATTCACATTTGGATTGTATTTTCAGACCCATAAAGAGCTGTAGTCTAAGCTTTGTGCTTACATATGTCATTCATTCTTTTACACACGGCTTCACCTTGAATGGATATTACCATGTCATTTTTTCATGTACGTGTATCATTCAATTGGTGGATGAGCAATAGATTTGAATAAAGATGCCAATTTAATACTGGTCATACTTTCTTTATTAGCATCAACACATGTTATCCTAAATCTTTTTTCTTCATGTGACAATAGGAGACGCTTCGTGAATGTTTTTGTATTAGATTTTTTCTTAAAACAAACGGTACATAGAAATAATTGTTATTAAGAATTGTTCATTTCTTATGTAAATGTTGCTAACCTGCTTTACTTCTCTGTGTCTCCCTTCCTTCAGATGGTCACGAGAACAAAGAAAATATTTGTTGGAGGATTATCAGCCAACACAGTAATTGAAGACGTGAAGCAATATTTTGAACAGTTTGGCAAGGTAAGATCATTTGGAGTGTTTTCTCCTCTGGGCTGCTGTGTTTGTGTGAGAGTCTGGTTGCCTGGTGATGATATGGCAACACTGTGTGCTTAGCCAGGAGAATGCACCTGCAGTCTGATGAGATGTATAGAGTCAGACTAGAGGAAGAAGCATATCAGTTTTATCTCTGCTTATAATCAGTTCAGCCTGGCATGGTGAACGTAAACCAGCCTAGATTCATAACAAATAATCTGTATTCAGTCCAGTGTAACACAGGCAGTTTGGCAAGAGATCAGTTTGTTGTTCTGGGCTGATATAAGTTTACTGAGGATAACTACCAACTGTGTGTGTGCTTATGATAACTGGTTACTGTATGTGTTTGTTTGGCTGAAGATTAAATAGACTGACTTATCAGGTTAGCATCAGCCACAGACGTCAAAATAAAGGTGTGTGTGTGTGGTCCCGAGGTCACCGTGGTCGACCTCTCAGTTCATCTTCTTCTGTTCTCAGATCTACCCAGGTTATCCATCAACATGACATAGCTTTATAACCAGGGCTGCACATAACTGGTGCGCAGGTACGCATGCGCACCTCTGCCAAAAAAAGAGCACCGGGTCATTTGAAAAAAGGCGCATTTGCGTACCAAAATTGAGAGAGGGAGAGAGAGAGAGAAGGGAGGAGAGAGGAGAGAGGAGAGAGAGATATTTGCGAGTTGCATATGAACTCAGGGTCGCCCCGTAGCACTGGCGTTATAGATGTTCGCCTAGGGCGCCAGATCTGTGGAGGCGCTGCGCTGGCAGCTCGGGGAGGGAAAAAAACATTTTTGACCGTAGGTGCTCATCCTAATTTTCGGCCTTGATGTAACAATATTCATAATTAAGTAAATGTAACACCCTTTTCACCCCGGTTACACGTTGCATTTGCCCTGTACGATGGGCGCTGTAAGTGATGAAAATGGGGGATGTTGGCTTATCTGGCGCCCGCAGCTCACAGCCAAAATGTGAGCGAGGGAGAGAGAGAAGGGCGCACCGCCCGCTGTTGTTATTAGAATCTGGTGCTAGCTGCTCTAACGGATATAAGAAGAAGATGTGATGGGAGAGTCCTCTCCAGTCAGACTGAGAGGCTGATGACTACAGCTCAGTGAGGTAAGGACTCTGAGTGTTTAGATAGTTCACTTTAGTCTAAGTTCAAACAGTTTGGTCACAATTTATGTAAACACATATTTCCAAGGCACTCCTTTATAATTATTGGGATAAACAGGTTTAAAATCATTCCAATGTATACCATAGGACAGTAACCAATAATATCCTTTAAAACTGGAGAGATAAAAAAAAAAAAATGCATAAATAAATGTTAAGGTAAAATAAGATATGAATGAACAACACAAATAAAATAAGTTACATTCATTTGTTATTGGCTATGGTAGGTTATTGGTTATGTTCACATACTTATTTGATTATCCACTTGTCTAAGATGACAACAGAGACTTTCGACCCAAACCCAGCTGTTGACTTGTGGATGCAAGCAGCTAATCGCAGACTCAACAAGAGAGAAAGAAGTAGGCCTACATCATCAGCTACCATGTCTGACAGAGAGGAAGACAGTGAGGAGAACAGTCAGGAGGGTAGTGATGACAGCTTGTAGGATTACTGGTCGTGCTAATGTTGTCTTGTGTTCACCTCTGCATGTGTGTTCTGTGTTCACCTCTGCATGTGTGTTCAGTGCCGTGTGTCTGGCAAATAAAGTCAAGACCCCCTCAAAAGTTAAGGTTTATTTCATTTTAAGGATGAGCACCAAGCAACATCTCCAGGTGCTCCTTTGACAACCAGGGCAAAAGAGGTGTGTGTGTGTGTGTGTGTGTGTGTATGTGTGTGTGTGTGTGTGTGTGTGTGTGTGTTGAGAATAAGATGAGGAGGAAATAAATGTTGCAGTGTGAAACAATAAAGGGGTCTGATACATAGTAGGGAGAAAGGCGGGTGGCGGTTTTTGCTATTTTTCGGCTGATCGAACATCTAACGACATTTTATTTACACGCCTCCTATACTTATGTGTGTATTGCTCTTTCTTTGGGACCCCTTTGAAGAGCAAGTAGGTGTTAAATGTTCCGTTTATATTAGACCTTAATGAGTTTATTTCCTGTGAGTTTTATCATTGGATTGTAAATGTATTCTTTATACACACAACACCTTGCCTTTCCGTCCTGGGATAGGGATCCCTCTGTTGCTCTCCCTGATGTTGCTGACAATATTTCCACAATAATTGTTGGCTTCGTTTTGGAGTTCTTACTTGTATGCTCTAAGGGTCTAAGGACAGAGGGTGTCATATGCTGTACATACTTAATTATAGAAAGCGTTTGTGAGGGTTTCTTTTGACATACATAAGTAATGAAAATATATACTGTTATGTGAATTATGTAGTGATCTTTTATCTCATGCTTTCAATGAGAACACCTGCTTCTTAGTGGTGAAATTGACCTGAGTAATGCAGCTGTAGTTCTTTAAATACTATTTATTTTAATTAACAAGTAAATTACTGTGGAATCCCTTATATATAGTGTGTGTGTGTGTGTGTGTGTGTGTGTGTGTGTGTGTGTGTGTGTCCCCGTTCCGTGTGTGTCCCATGTAACTAGGAGTGTCCCTCAGAGGAACCATGTGAGTGTGTGAGCGATGGCGCAGAAATTACCTTGGAGATCAAACGAGACCTTGTTTTTCCCTCATGGGCCAAATGCTGAGTAACCTTAATTGAGATGGCAGCTGCTTAGGCCTTTTAATTATGTATTTATTTATTTAGCTAATTTATTCATAGATACTGAGCGAATCAGTTCCGGGTCAATCTAGCGTCAGGCACGGTGGTTGAGCATTAAAGGAGCTCAGTCAGTTCTCTCTGGTTGCTTACCAAAAGAAGGTTTTAGAATAGCAATGACTCAAAGTGGTTTTAATATGTGGAGATTATCCTGCTGAACAAAACAGGACATAGCGAATCATAAATGTGTGTTTGCCATCCATCCCATTTTCCCATTTTGATTGCAATATTGCAACATAAAATCAAAGAATAATAATAATAATAAATTCGATTTGTAAAGCACCTTTCATTGCTAACAGCAATCCCAAGGTGCTACAGGAGGCATAATAAAAACAAACAAAAGAAACAAAAGTTGAATCAAAAGCTTTTTTAAAAAGAAAGGTTTTTAGGCCTTTCTTAAAGGCGTCAGTGGTCTGTGGAGTCCTCAGGTGGTCTGGGAGGGAATTCCACAGGTGAGGAGCAGCTGCACAGAAAGCCCGATCCCCCATTGTGCAGAGTTTGGTCCCCGGGGGGCGAAGCCAATGGTTGGTTGTGGAGCGGAGGTTGCGTGTGGAGGTTTGTGATGTGAGAAGTTCCTTCAGGTATGGAGGAGCGTTCCCGTGGATGCATTGATGGGTCAGTAGTGCGATCTTGTATTCAATCCTGAATGAGACAGGAAGCTAGTGGAGGGAATGAATAACGGGTGTGATGTGGTTTTATTTTCTCACCCTCATCAGGATCCTAGCGGCACTGTTCTGTACGTATTGGAGCTTCTGAAGGCTCCCGCTAGGAGTCCCGATGAGGAGAGCGTTGCACAGTTGTTTGATGTGGGTGTCAAAGGTCAGATGTCAACTAAAATAGCTTCTGTTTTGGAGCTATTAAGCTGCAAGACGTTTTGTTGCATCCAAGCTTTTATCTCCTCAATGCAGGTGTTAATGGATGTTGATGGGAACGGTGATGATGATGGTGACAGTGAGGAAGCATGTGGGATAGGGTCTGTCTTTATATATAGCTGCGTGTCATCAGCGTAGCAATGGAATGATATTCCATGCTGGCTGATGACACGGCCAAGGGGCAGAGTGTACAGGGTGAACAGAGTGGGCCCGAGGACCGACCCTTGAGGGACACCACAGGTGACAGGGTGTGTCTGGGACCTCGCACCTCACAAGGAGACGTACTCTGTTCTTCCAGACAGGTAGGACTGGAACCAGCTCAGGGCGGAGTCCGATGGTGTGTTCGAGGCGCTGAAGGAGGATGTTATGGTCGACAGTGTCGAATGCTGCAGTCAGATCCAGGAGGATGAGGAGAGATGGGGATCCAGTGTCAAATCAAATCAAATCTTATTTATATAGCACATTTAAAAGCGATTTTTGGTCGAGCCAAAGTGCTGTACATGTAATAAAAACACATTACTACAATCACAATAAAAGACAATAATTTACAACAGAAATATAAAAAACAAAAATACAGGGAATAGTCAGGTGTCATGCTCCGCTCTGACTAGAAGGCCAGGGAGAAGAAGTGCGTTTTTAGTGAGGATTTAAAAACCCCTAGTGTCTGGGCCGACCTCACATGGAGGGGCAGAGTGTTCCAGAGCCTGGGGCCAGCTGCTGCGAAGGCTCGGTGACCTCGGGTTTTGAGCCTGGTCTTGGGCACTATCAGCAACAGCTGGTCAGCAGACCTTAAAGCTCTGGCTGGGGTGTAGCGATGGAGGAGTTCGGCTATATAGGCAGGAGCCAGCCCATTTAGGGCTTTGAAAACAAATAAAAGGAGTTTAAAATCAATTCGGAACCGAATTGGAAGCCAGTATAGTGAGGCCAGAATTGGGGTGATGTGGTCACACTTTTTGTGGCCAGTCAGAAGACGTGCAGCTGCGTTTTTGGACTAGCTGCAGGCGTTTAATTGAGTCCTGGTCCATACCCACATACAGAGCGTTGCAATAGTCCAGTATTGTGGTTACAAAGGCGTTAATAACCCTTTCTAGATCTTTAAAAGATAAATACTACTTGGTTTTGGCCAATAATCTTATTTAAAAAAAAAAAGAAGCAGGATTTGACTACGGTTCTGACCTGCTTGTCGAATTTAAAAGTGCTACTGAAGGTCACTCCAAGGTTCATGACAGAGGGGAGGATGTTTTCATTGAGTGAGCCCAGAATATCAACCGCAGAGGCTGGAGGTTGGGGTTCAAAAAAGATGACCTCGGTCTTGCTCTCGTTGAGGTTAAGGACATTTTGGCTCAG